GGCCCCGGGGGGAAAGCCCGCGCTAAGAGAGGGCTCTCTCTGACGGCTGGCACCGGCGTGTGTGGCGAGGTGTGTACTGGATCGCTCGGAGGTGGAAGTACGCGTTGGCGACTTTGTGGCCCGAGCCGAGCCCGGACTTTGCGCGGCCCACGCGATGCCCCTTCTCAATCTGGTTCCGCAGGTTCCCGTACGGCGCGTTGAGCACGAAGAGCGGCTGGTCCGGCGACGCGCCGCCGACCCGGAGCTGCGGCCACGCGGTGCTAGCGAGAGGTGGCTGCGGGCCTGCCGACGAGGCGTTGGTGGAGGGCGAGAGGTAGATCCGGACCGGCGAGCCGTAAACTGGAGGCTCCCACCGCACGTCGAAGTCCTGTGGGTGCATGGGCGGCAACTCGATCCTGCACCAGTTGTCGCCGCCACGGTCGAGCCACGCGCGTAGCCGCGCGCCGCGCTGCGGCGTCGATACGGAGTAGAAGACGGGGAAGGGAGGGGGCGCCTCCCTCATCCTCGATCCTGCACCAGCTCGACGACGAGGCGGCCGATATTATCTCCTGTCCCCGGGCGAGCGGCGGCGGCGGTAAGGGGCGACAGGAGCGCCGTGATCGGATTCACACATGGCGGAGAGAGCGGCAGGGGCTGACGGTGGTGGCAAGTTCGTGGTGGGAGCTGGCAGCGAGCCCGGCTGACTCCCGCCCAGAGCTGCCAAACCTGCGGCTTGTTGAACTGGCGTTTGTGGCGTGTGCGCAGGCCATGCGGTGGGCATGTCGGCCGGGACTGCGGGGCCGACGGCAGCGGAGGGAGTCTCTGGGGATGGCTCAGAAGAAGGCTGGGCAGGCCCACTGTCGGCTGGTTGCTCGGGCGAGGTCATCGCGCGCATGCCAGGCCGCGCGCACGCGCAAAGTACGGCCGTCCCTTGTCGATCTAGTCATATTATAAAGGCGTGGGAGTACCTCGCCAGATCATGATGCAATTTTTCTTCATTCATGCTGCTGGCGGCGTCGATGGGCCTCGGTGCGGCGATCCGCGAGCTCGCGCTCCGGCCGCGCACGCTGCGCTCGCTGGCGGGCTCATCGGTAGCCAGAGCGGCTGCGGCCGCGACCGCCGCACCGCACGACGCCGACGCCGCCTTCATGGACCTGGCGCTTGAAGAGGCTGCGGCGGCTCGCGATGCAGGCGAGGTGCCCATCGGGTCGGTGCTGGTGATGGCTGGCGAGGTTGTGGCGTCCGCGCGCAACCGCGTCGAGGAGCTCCAGGACGCCTCCGCCCACGCCGAGATGCTCTGCATGCGCGCCGCCGCCGCGTCGCACGGCGGGTGGAGGCTCAACGCCGACGCGGCGGGCGACCCGTGCCCGAGCACGCTGTACGTGACGGTGGAGCCGTGTCCGATGTGCTACGCCGCGCTGCACGGCTTCCGCGTGGAGCGGCTGGTGTACGGCGCGCCCAACGACCGCCTCGGCGCTGTGCATGGCGCGATGCGTGCGCCGGCGCGGTCACTGCTCTCCCTCCCTACCTCCCTCTGTCTACCTGCCTCGCTGCCTCTCTCTCTCTCTCTCTCTCTCTCTCTCTCTCTCTCTCTCTCTCTCTCTCTCTCACTCGGTCTATCTCCGGGGAGAGGCAGCTTGCTTATTTGTCTGCTCCCTCGAGCGCTCACCGCCTTACTCCGTCCACTCCGATGACGGTGTCCGTGACAAGTTTCACGCGTCCGTACATACTTACGCT